TTCCTTCACTTAGCTCCGCAGCAGCTTAAGTTCCAAGTCTGCTACTCAACAGAACGCCTACACATAGGACGTTCCCACTTACTCAAAGTTCACAAAATGCATGCCAATTCTCAATTTCACATGCATAATACAATCACTTACCTCAATCCACTTGGTCCAGGACCAAGGGAAATCCACCGACTCATCGTTCGGGGTTCAAGTCAACATATGACAACCTACAACAACCATGTACGAATCATCAGTACACGGCAATTCTATCAGAATACGAAAAATGTCAAAACCTCCCCTACACCCTTGTAGGTTCGGCCAAAGTAGTGTATTTTTACAATTTATTTTTCTAAATTTTCTTTCTCATTTTATTATGCTCCGTTAGGTTGCCAAGAGGCTAATTCATGTGTCGTTTTTCCGTTTTACGTCTTTTAAGCATCGTTTTGCTAAACAATTCACTCTAGGTTCTTTTATGTCCTTAAACACAAATTATTATTTTCCATTGATTCTTCCACTATAAATCCACCACACAACCCATCTAAATACCATTTAATTACACAACACATCAACCAAATAATTTTTCAACACAATATCACACTTTTCTCAATTATGGCCGAAATTCAAACTATGTCCCTCCAAGGGATTTTCATTCAATTTTCACCACTCTACACCTCACACACTCCCATTTTATCAACATACAACTATACCACAACTCAATAATCAAAGCCCAACAAAATTCCAAAATCCTTAGTCATGACATTCCTCAAAATTTCTAAGTTAAAATCCATATTTTTCACCTAAATTTTTCATGGCATTTCTAGCTTTAATACATCATTCTAAGGTATTATCATCTAATACACATTTTCCAAATGAGCTCTCTAACATCACCAATCATGAAATTAAAGTGTAGGGTTAATGAAAATAAACTACAATCAAACCATGTAAATGAGATGGAAATACACTCACAATCAAGGCTAGATGCTAACCCAAGACTCCTCCAAGCAATGGAAGCTCAAATGACTCCATGAACCTCCATTTTTCCTCACAAATTCAGAACTGAAAATGCCAAGGATCTCCTCAAATACACGGTTTCAAGGCTCAAGAGTGGTACCAATGTGTTTAGAAGGTTGTTTCCAACAAATTTCAACACAAAAATCACTTGATTTGGTTAAGAAATGATCAAGTTATGGTGAAATGAAATTTTGGATGCAAATGGGGTTTTTGGGGGAGGGGGCTGCGGGTTTCATGAAGGAGGAGGGAAGAGAAGATGATGAATAGTGTCCTAGGATGATGTGGCTTAAGTGGTTTAAGTGGGGTGGGTCCCACCGCCACCTCATGCAATTTCAAACTCATTTGAATTTCCCTCCGATTCCACTAAACGTTCATAAATTCAAAACCTATTTAGAAACTCTAATTTTTAACATTAACCATTGTCCTTTAATTATACTTGATCAGATGAATCCGGAGTTTTCCGGTCGTTCGGAGAAAACACTGTTTTAAGCTGTTGCGCGCGCTGTTTGCACGCTTCCCCAAACTGGCTTAATTCCATCAAATATTATCAGAAATCATATTTCCTAATTTTATAGACCATTTATAACTCATATTTGAAACCTACAGCTCAAAATTCAACAGACACATTTTACGGTGCAATCATACCGCAATATCTTTACCCGGTAAAAATACTATTCACTGATTTTTCTGAAACTTGCCTATCCACTCAATTTTTCGTTCTGAATCCATTTCCAGGGTTATTTTTATCACCTGAGACCTTCTACTCAATTTTTATCTTCCTAGGGTTGCGTGTTGGCTAATTATCGTTTTGTCCTTTCTTTGTATTTTAGCCTAATCTTCAGGATTTTTCACTAATCCTTCACTTAATTACTCACTTAATATTTTAATACTTAATTTAGAATTGCAAAGTGTTATATTTTCTATTGGTGTGGATTTCGTGAGACTTTTTAGTGAAAAATATTAATAGGATGTCTCTCTTACAATCTCACTCTAACCCCTAGGATTTCTTGAGATTCTTCTATTGCAGTGTTTTCTTCTTCCTTTGACAGGTTGACTGCTCGAAATTGGGTTCCGCCATGGGAGCTTCATTAAAACTAAAAAAAAAGAGCATATTTTTGAGCGATTTTCATCACAAAACAACACAGAAACAACAAACCAACGAGATTTTAATATAATCTATCTCAAAATAACATATTTTTGAGCCATTTTTTGAGAAATTTTGGAAGTTTAAAAAGTGATTTTTCAAGCTATGGGTCGCGGTTTTTCTTGGAACAAAAACGTGTGATTTTTGTATTAAAAACAACATAAAACGATGAAAAAATAACAGGGGAACTAAAATCCTCAAACCAATTTTTTGTTTTACATCAATGAAACAATATCAATTTAAAGAAAGATTGAAACTTTCATAATATGAACCCTATATTTCGTAACAATACATTCAAGAACGAAATTCCTTCACTAGAGGAAACATTTTCAAACAATTTTTGTGTCAATACATAACTAAAAACTTGTTTCTTATCGATTGAAAAAAATTTGAGAAATTTTTTTCTAAACTTTCATGTAATTAAACCCAAAATTTCAGATTCAAAATTTTCTTAGAATATTCAATGAAAATATGCATATGATATATGGTTAGAAAACTCTCATCACGTAAAACAAAAACCCAAAGGTTTTCAAAATCAATTGGAAAAAATTTCAAATGAAATTTTATCATGAACTTTAGGTTCTATATGCAAATTTAGAATTATTTTTATTATTAAAAAAAAATTGGGTCTTGTAATCATATGTGCATAACTTTGATAACAAATGAAGAAGATAATTTTCAACCCATTAGATATGTGAAAAGCTGTTGTTTAGTAATTTTGAATGTTTGTTAAAAATTATATTAATGTTTGGGGCAAGATATACTTACCATCTTTTTTATTAATATCATTGCATTTCTTTGTTATTTGTTTTTATTGACTCTTGTAATTTTGAATATTCTTTAAAAATTCATATAGTTTTTTAAAATCTTATAAATGCATATTGTCCTTTCAAACTTACGAATTCTATTAAAATCCTTTTAAATCCAATCCTATGAAATCTTGATTGTAAAAAAAGTCTTTTAAAAAAGTCTATAAAGTCTCTCCAATTCTAAAATGTCTTTTAAAATCTGTAGTATTTTTTATCTCAAAAAAGTCTTTTAAAATCCTAATCCAATACACCTCCCTTAAGCTTTTAATTGCAGGAGTTGGTTGGGTTGGACATATTTTTACCTTTTTCTTTTAATCTTCCTAAAATTTTTTTTTTACTTGACTTGAATCACCAATCTCATGTGAAATTATTTTTCCCCCAACTTTGTGTCTGCAAGTGCAGGCACTTACACTCACCTGCGTCCGTCATTGCCTTCAAACCTTCATCTCTTCCTTCGTTCCTCATTCCCTTGTCCTTCGTTGCATCTTCCCTTCCTTCCTCTACTTACCAAGCAACCCCACTTCACTTCCATACCCCACCACACCTTCACTCAGGATTTTCTCTAGCTAATCATACACATTGTTTTTCATTGTCAATTTAGAATGGTGCTTTCACAGTTCATTGCTAAAACACTTTTATTGGAATTACTAATTGTTGGTTTTTAAAATGATTATCCAGATGTACAATAGCTTGTTGTACTCCGGAGCAAATTGTGTTTAAACAAGATGGGTGAAGAAAACCCAAATCTCATAATATCCATATAGAAAACCTTATCGTGCTTGAAGAAAATAATGAAATAAAATAACTTCGAGATTCTCTGTAATATTTTCAATCAATCAAACATATACTTAGTAAATTTGACCCAATATTTTGAAAAAAAAATTGGTTACTAAATGGCTTTTTGATCACATTCCCAAGAATTTTATTTTTTCACTATATTCCTGCAAATCATGATTCCTGGACAAAAAAAATATATTCCTCTACCAAATGTCTCCTAAACTTTTCTTGTTGAAATAATAGGTTCTCCAAATCTAATTTATTTATTTAACGAACTATAATTAAAGTTTTGTTTTAGTTTACTTAAGAATATAAAAACATCAACTTGACCTGTTTAGTCTATTTATAATTTCAATATTTTCTTCTTCTTTTTTGTCAAACCCTTAGTTGGAATATTTCAATTTGTTCTAGTATATTATAGAATTCTTTATGCTAAAAAAGAGAGTTAAAAAACTAAAAATAGAACAAACAATTTTTTTCATCATAATCTATTATATAAATAATTCATAACATTCCTATAAATTTTTTTATTACTTAATAAAAACAAATAAATTATTATTAAGGTTTTTTTTTCTGCAATGAACCCAAAGGATATGTTAGACGAAAATTAAGATATTTTTATTTGAGATTATAATAGTCTTTATTATTATAACTTTTTTAACCAAAATAATTTTATTTTGCAAGTGAATATTAATAACTTATTTGTATTCGCTATAGAAATATTAAAACTTATTATTATTATATAAATAGAGGTAATGCCCAAAGTCTAGCAATAATATCAGACCGCTCTGCCACTTGTGGTGTTATCTGTTATGCTTTGCTTCGTGGCCTTCAACTAGATGATACGTTGTATATTTTCAGAACGAAAATAACATAATTTATCAACAAATAAAAAATAATATATCAATTGATATATATATATATATATATAATTTTAAAATTAAAAGATGGAAAAATATATATCACATATAAGATTATAGTATTTTATATAAAATTAGTTGAATTCAAAGATGATGTATAACTATATCAAGATATATAACTTGTAAGAAAAACAAACGTTTTTATAATAATACAAAATTTTGAAGGTATTATTACTAGTTAGATATTTGGTGTGTGCACGAGTGGTACGGTAGTATAGGTGAAAACATGATAAGAATGTAATGTGCCTTTCCTTTGAACTTATAATCAAATAAAGGGAATATAAAGTAATTTGGTGTAGAAATATTAGTGATGAAAGCCCAAATGGAAAATGGGAAGATTTAGCCCAAGCCCAAGCCCAAGCTGGAAATAAAAGTAAGCGGAGCCGAGCTGCAGAGCGTTTTGGTTCGGGCGGTGTTGGAATCGGATCGAATTAGAATCAAAACCCCAGGCAGAGGAAGAGGGGAGCGCTCGGCTGCAGTGGAGTGGAGGTAAGAATAAGAGAAGGTGGTGTGGTGATGTTTGTTTTGTGAAATGAAATATTGATATTATTATTGATTGTTTGTATAATTTAATCAGATAGATAGATAGATAGATAAATGGGTGCATTTTGGGGGACGCGGGTGATGGAGATAGTGAAGAAGCATGATTCTGCTGGACTCCTTTGGAAGAGAATCAAGCTCACCACCACCCGTAAAGCCAATGCTAAGAAACGTCTCCTCCGCGTTTGGCAGGTAGTTTTATATTTCACCCAACTCCATCATGTTCTATGATCTGAAATCTGAATGTATTAAAGTATTATTGCATGCTTCTGTTGTGTATTTAATTAAATATGTTCATTATACCTGGAGAAAATGTTTAAGGATCTTGATTTGTTGCTTCATCTTGCATGATACATTTGATTTCCTTTATTTACGGCACAACACAACACAACACAATTCCATTCTTGGTCACAGACGTGTTATGTATTAATTTTCGAATGACTCCCAGCTGCATGTCTATTTTGTTTCATTTCATCTATACCAACTTATTCTTGTTCGTGTCTTCTTTGTTTCATTTTGGAAGAATGAAGCTGTTCTGAAGGCATGTTCTGAACCATCTCCTTCAATAAGTTCTTCTGCCAGTATCAATAAAGCTCATGACAATGTTACGGAGGGTAGTTAAGTTGAAGGGCATGATGTTCGATGACATTAGCCCAATCTGAATGTTATATATCATTGGTATTTGGGCTCCCAATTCTAAAATATTAGCTTTTGCTCGGATAGTTGTTCTCAAACTTTACCAGGATGCTTCAATTAGCTACTTGTTTACACTTTATTTTCCATTAAAAAAAGTTAATTTGTACCTTTTTTGGGTCTATGACCAGCGAAAATGATATGACAACTCTTAGAGCTTGAGCTGCATGAAGAGCTTGAGTATCATCTGTTATATGTGAAGATTATTATCTATCTTGCTTGCTGTAAAATGTCTCTTGCCTATTTTATGAATCTAGGCATGTAGCTGATTGCTGCTATTATGATTTTGGTTTCCAGAGCACCCATACGAATTATTTGCATCAGCAACTTGGGTTTGTGGTTTCCTTCTGGTTTTGAACATGATTTATTTATCTTGCTTGCTATGATATCATGATCGCTGATACTAAAGATGTTGGGAATTATGGGATGTTGATTTATTGTCTGGTAGCTGAGATTTTTAAATTTTATGTGTACATTCAGGAAGTAGATTAATAATTAAAAAAAATGTAAAGAAAACATGAACTGCAGCGAGGTCCTCCAATATTGGTATTAGAAGAAAGGATGAGGATTCTGTTTATGGGCCTCAGTGTTGTGGGGCTCATAAGTTACAGCCCTTCAACTACAATAGGGTGGATTACTATGGATGAAATTCAAATTTTTTTATACTCGTCGTGGAAGAGTACTGCTGAAGGCTCGAGCCTTTCAATTTGTATTGGGCCCCATGTAATTAGACTTATTTGATTAGCTTATATGATATGAATGGGAAAGAATTAGGAAAATGATAAGTCCTTGTTGCAGGGATACTAAGAATCGCTTATGAACTCAACTCGGTCCAAGCAAACAGCATTAACAAGTGGTTGGTTTTGGAACTGGTCAAAATTGATGGATGGTTATATATTCCCTTTATTGCAAGGCAAATGGAAGAGCAGGGCTTATTACCTTATTTATGTGATTGACCTAATCAGGTGAGCCTACCAAGTTTAGCTTGGAGTGAGTGGGGCATGTGTGGTCTCAGGTCCGCCATGATAGGCTGCCCACGTGATTGACAAAAATGTTGCTCTAAGTCAGCAATTCACATACCTCTCTCTCTCTCTCTCATCTTTTATTTCCTTCATGAAAATGAAACTTAATAGAATAGGTGACGTGAAGAACTCTAACAGCCTCATTAGATGATTCTAAGCCACTGTCACAAGAAAATCTGGTCGGCAATCAATTCTTTTGAAAAAATATCATTTAATTACACTTTTGTCTCCTTAATTTTGTAAGCTTCTTTTGGTCCCTAATTTTATTTGCTACAATACTATCATTCAATCATTTTTTCCCTTAAGAGTGTTCTTATTCCAAATAAACTAAATTCTCAAAAGATGATTAATTGACAAAGGTAAAAATCTTTTCCAACGGTATTTTTTTTCATTAATTTGAAATCGAATTCAGTATAATAATTTGAAGGAATCTAATTTCTTTATATTGGGACAATACGTGCTGGTATTATCATTCTACTAATTAAATTCTAACAATATTGGTGTAACCTGATTATCTTTTCCTCAATTGACCAGATGTAATGAAATTATATTGATTTGACAAGAATATGGGTTTATAACTCGGAAAAGTGTACCCATTCTTTGTAACAGTTAACGTAAGGCAGATTTTAAAGACACTTTTAATGTCAAAGTTCTTGATCAGCAAGATCTACAATTAGAAGATCGGACAACAGTTTGACTAAGATTTATTCAATTTTAATGTTAGCTAGATCACATATTAGTCATTAGAACCAATATTAAAATCGTACAAATTACAAAAAAAAGAAGGATAAACATGTTATTAAAACCAGAGTTTTCATCTTCTATGCCTTCACATGCTACGGTACAAGGCAACAAGCAAACAAATCCTGTAATTTTATGATAAACAAGTTTTATTTATGCCGACCCTGCTCTTCCCAGTATCCACTTGGCAGGTTTAGAATGGCCTCTTGGCATCGTTTGTTTTTGGTTTGAGAGACTCTGACTAAATGGCCCTTAAACTGATATTTTTACTGTTAAATATATTAGTTTTATAAATGTAGACAATAATTGACAGACAAACTTTATTATTTTATGGGTCTATGCATTTGTTAATTGGCGATGATGATGCCTTTGTGCTATTTAATCTGCAAATTGCATCATTTCATTTGCCTAGGCTAGGCTAAATTAGATTTTGACTAAAATAAGTTAATCCAGTGTTGTATGCACCAGACAGACAAATTTTACAAGAGGGAAATGAAGCTTTCATTTTTTATTTTTATTTTGTAACATTTAGAATTGGATTGTGTTAACACTTCTGGAGAAGAACAGTCTTAATACATCGAGTACAGGATATACAGAAATCTCAACGTAAAAAAACTTAAGGTTATTATGTCCAAAGCACTTAATCACTTGTTTTGTAATTTTAATATTGCCCAATGTTTGGTTAACTCAAATTCCACTTCATATATATGTTTTTGTTATATGACCTCGCAAAGGAAAAGTGATTGTGAATGATTGAGTAGTGGCAACAGGCAAGTGGTACATGTTAGACAAGCAATTATCATGTTTAATAAAAGTCAATATTGGTGATTTGGTAAATCGAAGAAATCAACTAGCGGACTCGTTAAGAATTAGAAGAAAAATAAAGATATGGATAAATTACTTATACTTGTGGAACAAGGTAGTTCATTTATTCTAGCGAATTTCGGGATTTTAAAAATTTGTGAAGATCCGCCAAGTTATCTTACAATACCGAAGGTTTTTCCGTACTTGTGAAGTTTGGGATGAGGTCATTAATTAATTTTTAGAACAAGGGATTCTCACCAAAATATGCTTCCCTATGGAAAAAAATTATATGTGAAGTAAATTTGTACAAAAAAATTAATGTAATGCTGTGTATATTTAAAAAGTAATTTTAAAAATATGCAATTCTTATATAAATATAGTATTGGATATATATCAATTTATGCTTGTAAACAGGTTAGTCCCAAACTTTAATCTAAACCGGTTTCCCTCGACCAACATACCCCCCCATCTACTGCTCCACCTACTGTCTACTGATATTTAGTCAAATAAAGGATGAAAATTCCAGAAATGTTGTGGAAAATATGTCTTGAATGTCTGCATGCTTTAAAGAAAAGAAAAAATTAATTGTTGTTTTATCTTAGTTGCAGGCTTTTCTTGTTTAATATATTTTTTTTTTCTAAGATGTAGTTGATTATAGATACGTAAATATCAATTCTTGCAAATTCCCAAAACGAAAAAAAATCTTGAAAATCAGATCCGCCAAGAATAAACATTGAGGAACTGGGTTCACTTTTTTATTTATTTATGGAATTGACCATTTGCAGGTTCTTCTTTCCCACAAGGAATAATAAGCAACTAACTAGTGCGATGCTGATCTCGCAAAGATTATGTTCTTATTCTATGCTTGTTATCCTCAAAATGGTGTTTTATTGTTGGACAAGATTGTTTTTTTTTTTTTTTTTTTCTCATGCTTTCCATCCCTTTTCTCTTTTCCGTTCCCCCCTTTTCCTCTGTCAAAGGTTCTCCTTGGAACTGAAAATGAGTAGCTTTTTGCTAAAAGAACCATTGAATGGCGATGATGGGCATTACTAGTATCTGGAAAAAGGTAGAATTCAGAGGGAAATTGAAGGAAAATTAAGAATCGTATTACATAGTAAGTAGTATCAGTACCATAACTCTTCAGAGTTCAGACTACCCTCAATGCCGGTGTCGTTTGGGATACTATACTTGGTTTGAACAAGTGATGGTAATTAGATCTAATTAAAGAAAGAAAGAAAGAAAGAAAGAGGCGAAGCTTGATTTCTTTTAGAGACGGAAAAAGAGAAGTGCAGATACTAATACAACAACTAGAGAAGGGAAACCGTAACAAAGTTTGTTGTTAAGGTTTTCTTCTAAAATAAGGGAAGGTGTTGGAGCTACTGCTCTCTTCATGTTCATCTGATTCATTGTCATTGGTGGAAAGCTCAGTGATTCCACTGGTGCCGGAGGATGAGGAAGCAGGTACACGGTTTAAATCAGTCTTGTTTTGTGCCAAGAAGTCATAGAAAACCATCCTAGAGTTCCTCACCTTGCGGGTAATGTTATCAAGGGTTGGTCTCAAAGCGTCTCTGTCGTCCCCGTTTTTAGCACCTCTCCTCTTCCAAAATATCCGACACAGAACCCAATTTTCCACGGGAAGCAGAGGGGTCTGCACAACCGGGCCAATACACAAAGAAAGATTCTATGAATGAATAATGTCTGTATATCAATATGAAGCCAGCAGATAAAATAAAATAAATAAAAATTGTTGGTTGAAGACAAGACAAGACAAGACACACACCTGAGTGTGAGCGTGAGAGTGAGAGGTGGTGGTGGTGGTGAGGAGGCGATATTCGTGCATGATCCAATCAGTTCTTGAACCATGAGGAGGCTTGCCTCTGTAGAAAACGAGAGTCTTCTTCATCCCCACAACTTGGTTGTTCCCTTTTGAAGTTAGAATTTGTTTGTCCAAACCTGTTGCCTTCCAATAACCCGAGTTGGTGGCTCTGTTGGATCTGTTCCCATTAGGATATTTGGCCTCCTTCGTGCTGAAGAAGTACCTCTCTTGCTCCAAATCACCTAAACCCACCACAATCACTACTCATTTAGTCAAATGGGATCCACATGGCATTCCAGTTAAGTTGTGTTGTTGTAGTTAGATGAAAAAAGAAAAAAAGAAAAAAAGTAGAGAGTAAGTGAAAAATAGGTAGAAACCTGGCAAATCCCAAGGATCAGACTTGCAAACATCAACCTCAGGAATAAAAGAGGCCGGCAAAGGGGAAGAGAAGACCTTACGCTTCAAGTATTGCAAAACAAGTTCCTCATCAGTCGGGTGGAAACGGAATCCAGGAGGCAATCTAAGTTCCCCATTCTTCACAAAATTGAGCTTCTCCATAATACTACTACTTTGTTAATTGGAACCCCACCACTCACCACTGCACAACACAACACAACACTTTCTATTATTTGGGTGACACTCGTGGGAAGTTCTTATAAGCTCATCAAAGCAGAGGTCAAGAATAAACAAAGGAGGGAGTTGAGGGAAAGAAGATAAAAAAAAAAAGGAGGGGGGCGATTATTATTGGATAAAGAAAGCAAAAGTGTATGGAGAAGGGTGAAGTGTAGCTTCTTTTATAGTAATGGGTCTGACACCGAGCAGAAGAATAAGACGACACATTTGGCGTAAACCAGACTCAACCTTCCTTTTACTTTGACGTTATATTAACTATGGTTTAAGTCTTTCCTTTGGTTCCTACACAAAAACAAGCCTAGTTCCGCTCCACCTCTCTCTCTCTGGCTTAGATTGGACGAATCGGTTTATCCAAACAAAACATTACTCTGTCCTTTCCTTCGATAAAACAACAAAACCCCAAAACAATATAAATATAATATATAAATATTTATTTTTTATTTTTTTCCTCTTCAGCTTTATTCTGCTCTTTCTCTCTTTTGGAGCAAAAATCTAAAAAAAGAGATTTCTTTTTGAGATGTAAAAATACTTTAGGAAAAGAGGGATAAATGGTATTTGTTGTTAAGTTGTGGTGAAGTCGTCAGCTTATGTCATTTGGATACAGCTGGAGATGACCTGAACCGAGAGGCAAAGGAGCTTTATCAGTGAAAGTACATAAGTACCCCTCTCTCAGTTCTATTCTATCCCTTAATGGGGAACAAATGAGTTGAATAGTATTAGTATTAGTATTAGTATTTCGTGGCCTAATGGCCTTGGCTGGCTTTTTGCAACGCCCCCTTAAAAGAGGCAACAGTTAATTTGTACGGAAAACTCAACCCATCCACCACTCTGCTCTTTGAGACTCATCCTTTTCTGTCGGTATTTGTTTTAACCCTTTCACTCTCTATCTTTTTGTCCTTTGGAAAATTTAGGTTGTAAATTTTAGAAACACTTTTACAGCCTACTCTTTTACGACTTTAATACCCTATGCACATTGATTTTTATTTCTTTATTTTTTCAGCTTGGAGTAAGTTTTAATTTTTAAATGCAATCAAAAGGTTTGGACTTGCTCAAGATTTTTTATTTTTTTTTTAAATATGACTTGCAATTTATTATGTTTGTGTGACACTTCTGAAAAGTTATTTCATTATAATTTATGAATTTTGATAGCATATCAACTTAAGGAGCCGTGAACGCAAACATACATTTGCTAAATCATTTTCAAATCAATTAAAATATTCTGTTAGCTTTTCAATAACTTAAGGGTCTAAATCGCGCTGAAATCGACTAACCATACAAAGAGGCATATATTCTTATTAAAGCTACATGCATCAAAACTATGGCCATATAAACTAATAAGAAAATCTATTCTATCTCGGACATGATCGTTTGAATTGTAGTCTTCATTGTCATATTATATTTCTACGTCGACCTAATGCATTGTTTATCTTCTCCATTTATTTATTCTCAAAATAATGGAATCATCGAAGTTAACTGCCACTGTAGAAATTGGTTTTTAAATTAAATTTAGCATTAGTCAAACACCACACAGTTCACTTTATATTCAGTATTTTTTTTACATTAATTTAACTTTTTAATTATATAAAGTGTCACTAAATTGGCTGTTCTTCGTCAAATTCAGAGAAATAAGAATAAAAAAAAATCTTTTTTTTTTGGTAATCTATTAAAATCTTTATTGAGGGACTAATTTGATGACTTTTTGTATAATTAAAAGAATAAATGTAATAACACTATGCATTCTTAAAAAACCTGATATTACCAAAAACACAGATCAATGACAGAAGTTTTTCCATGACTAAAATAACCAGACTTATATATTTTGAGAATGAAAATATAAGTTTACCTAAGGTAGTGTTTGGTTAGGGAGAAATTTTTTTAAAGTGAGTAGTTGTCTTTACTAGGAAAGACGTAGAAAAGTTAGTTTGATAGGAAAATGTAAATAAAGCTGTTTGGTTGTGCAAAATATTACTAGAAAAATTGGGTTAAATATCTTGATGTGTGTTTGGTTGAAAATAAAATTGTGATGGGAAAAATAATGCAAAAGACGATATTAACCTTTTTATAAAATTATGCATTTTCTAACATGTATTCTCGATTCTTTTTCCTGGTTATGGATCAAAGTTTGGTTAGGGGTTTGAAGGACAGTGACGGAATGGATCAATCATTCCTGGTAATGTTATCGAATCTCCTCCACCTCCACAATTCTTTAGACCCCACCACCTCTCTCCTCTCCGACACAATCTCTTCCACAACTGCCACCACCTCCGCCTCACCTTCCTCCGCCACATCCCCAACCTCTCTCCTCTACTCTTCCTCCATCGCCCTACTCTTCTTCACCATCGCCTCCGTTCTCTCCTACGTCGCCTCCACCCGCCCCACCACCTCCACCACCACCACGACTCAACCACAACCCAACGCCTCTGATTACTCCGTCTCCACCTTCCGAGCCCTCACCACCGAACACATCTGGTCCCTCGAAGCCCCCCTCCGCGACGCACATTGGCGCTCCCTCTACGACCTCTCCTACCCAGTCTTCACCACCGTCGTCGACAAACTCAAACCCCACATCGCCTTTCATATATGGTTTTGGATATCACTTGCTCACGTGTGATCAAGAAGGAGGGTATATGTGTCATGCCCTTCATCACTTTTTCAGTTATCCGATTTTTCACACGAATTCCACATGTTCAGAGGCTTTCTCAACAGTGTCAAAATTCGTTTTTTACACTTCTTCCTGAATTGCTGGGCAAACTGCATCGATGGGCAAATTTACCAAAAATCTTCAACCATGGTTTAATCAAATTCTCACATCCACTTTGCCATCAAAATTTTAACTTCTCCCCAACCAAACACTACCTAAATCTTTCTTCAAATGGAGTATAATGAATTAAAGAATAAATATTCTCCCGCAAAAATTAGATTTTATTGAATTTTAATTTTTTGTCATCCGGTCGATATGATAATAAAAAGAAAAATAAAGATTCATAAGAACTTGATAACACAGCAAAACTCTTACTAAAAAAATATTATTAAAATACTCTTACTAAGTCACCGATAAAACCCACAAATCTCTAAAATTTATATTATTTTAAGTTATAAATTTAAAGTTGCATCAAATCAAGAATTATAAAATCTAGTTGTCAAGTAAAAGGCTGCTGTCGAGTGTCTAAAAAATTCTTCTTAAGAAATAAAAAAGAAAATATTTAATAAAAAGTACATTCAATATATAAGACACACATTAGTATTTGCGTAAGTGACAAAGCCCTTTGGGAGAAACAAGATACTCGTGATTTTGGAAGCATACCGTTGGCGAGTGTAAAATATTAAAATTACTATATTGGTGTACAAAATATAGTGTATTGTAAATGTTATCTATATCTCCATTGTTTCTTTTATTCAAGGTTTAATTCACGTTAATTTTTGAAAAATGATAGATGCGATGTGATGTTTCATTTCGATTTGCCCTATGAAGAACCCTGTGAATATTGCCTGAATAATTATCTTTTCAATGAGTCGAGATGATGGAGATCATGAGCGTCCCAATTTCTCATACTGCCCATGAATAAATACCACCAATAAGGCTAAGGCTCCATCGTTAAGAGTTAATACAATAATACTATATTTGCAAAGAGTTGATGATGATTACAACCCTTCACGATCAGGTTACAAGAAATAAGGAATATGTTACTTACACTAATTTGGGAAGAAAATAGAAGATTTGAGTTCAAACGACGGAACCCTACCTCAAGCATATAATCAAGTGCATAAAGTATTTGTTTTTCTTTGATGATTTTTATTCTAATATTTCAAAGTTAGATAGATAAAACAAGTCGGCCATAAAAGTAACTACTCACTAACATTAATTAGACTCCACTAATAATTATCACTTATCATTTAGCAAAAAAATTCAAATAACAAAACAAACAAAATAATTACTCACTACTTAAACAATCCAATAATTTTGAAAATAATAAAATAATAGTAACATTCTCTTCTCCTAAAAATGACTATTGTCCTCAAGAGTAAGACCAATATCAAGTAATTGAATCATCCTCGATATTTATATCCGCCTCTCCATTACTTTTGTCCATCACAACCTCGATCGAAAATAACTTCTTGCAACAATGATCACGAGCAAAAATTTTGTTGTAGCAAAAACAAAGCCACGTATGTCACCTATCAGAAATTTCTTCTACTCGTAGTGAGTACCAAACAGCAAGATGTAAAGGTGTCATACCATTATTTGCTCTGGCTTCAACAAAAGCGCCATGAGCTAGAAGTAACCATGCGGCTTCACGACATCCATTCTTTGCTGCCATGTGCAATGGAGTTTCTCCATACATATTCTTGGCTCCAACAGTATCTGGTCCTTGCCACTCAAGAAGAAACTTAACTATCTTAGCCTTATTGTGACCAGCAAGAATATGAACTGGTGTCTGTTGACAACATTCTCTCAAATCGTGAAACATCAAATTTCACCACTTTGGAGTGTAAGCCACATGCAACCCCGATCCATTATGTGTTCGGTTTTGATAATTGTTAAAATTGCTCACTGAATGATCTCCTCTTTGTCGTGTCTGCTTAACCACCAAGATGTTTAACCGGATGCAGAGTTGGATAAGCATCTCCTTGAATTGTTCCACCAAAGACAGGATCGTTTCTTCCAATCTTTCCAATTGTTTCTCCATGTTTGCTGTTTGTGCCTGACTTTGATACCAAGCTGTTACGTACACTTATTTTGGAAGAAAATCAGGGATTTGAATTCAACTGAGAGAACCCTGCCTTAAGCACACAAACAAGTGCACAACGTATTTGTTCTTCTCTGATAATCTTTATTCCAATATTTAAAGTTTAAATATATAATATAGGCCAACTCATAAAAATAACTACCCACTAACATTAATTAGACTCCACTAATAACTATCACTTATCCTTTAGCAAAATTCAAATTCAAATTCAAATAACAAAACAAATAAAATAATTACCCACTACTTAAATAACCCAATAATTCTGAAAATAATAAAATAACTGTAACATACCCTCCAACATCATACTTTCTTGAAGCCCAATTTCCATGCTAACTCAAGTTCAAGTAAAAAGCTCCAAAGCTTTGATGATGAATTTCTGGAACCGAGGTTCCTTGAATGTTATCTACTATAATTCCTTCACATCCTGATCGTTTTTCCTCTTTCCTTCAGCCCCTTTGTCACCTATATTGACTTTGATCCAATCCTATGCTGGGAATGTTCAGTAAATTAATTTCTCCATCCCTCATAAATAGGGAATCACTTGTTATTTTAATTTGTTATGTTATTGATCATATACATATATGTATTTGGACATATTTCCAAAATAGTTATTTGACAATGGAATATAAATCACATTTACGATGCATTTTATTTCTCTTAATTTATCCTTTTAAAACCATTATAATTTGTGTTAGGCAAATGACTTCTTGACGTGGATGCTAAACAAACTCGGGAGATTGAATAAGTGTACCAGTTTTTTTAAAAAACTATCAAATGGACTTAAACTTTAAACAATTCAGAGAATGGTAAATTAAACAATTATAATGAGCACCAACTCAACTAAGACACCAAACTTATCAATTTTATAGAGTTGTATTCTGAAATTAGTCAATCCAATATTGACAAGTTTAATTCTAACTATTAGGTCTCTATATGCCCAGAGACTTATACAAGTGTTATATGATGTTTAGGGTAGATAATACTGTTAGTAATTAGTGGTTAAAAATACTAGTGGTTAGTGGTGTGATCTGGTGTGACCTTATGTGGTCCACGGATATTGTTCACTACTGATAATGGAGAGGTGATATGGTCTACTAATGTTGTCCACTTCTTCATCACTCATTGGAGTGGTTCACCTGCTTTTGGTTTTGGTCTGCAATCATCTATAATCATCAACCATTAATTTGGTTCTTGTCTGCCATCAACTGATCCCATCTTCGGTGCACTCTTGAATAAACTCTATGATGGAGGAGTCTATAAAAAGGGTGCATCTTCAGCTTCATGAGTCACTGAGCTCACTTTACTACATAGCTGTACACCATCTGGTCTATAAAGAAGAGTTTGGAAGACTCAAGAGAAGAACTTCATATCAATGTTTACAGCAACCTTTTGAGCAACAAGAGAAGCAATGGCGGGAGGTATTCATGATCTTAATTTTTTCGCACTTGATCTAATTGTTTCTATTATGTATAAACATGATTAGATCATCAAGTATAAGTTTAGAACTTACAAATACCTCATCACTTTATAGTTGGATTATACACAAACACAGTTGAGCAATTCAAGTATCAAATTAAAAATCTTAACAAAACATAATTTTTACAACAAGTATTTGATGTAATCCGTAGAAAAAATATAATTAATACTCAATTATGTCGATGGTAGAATGCAAGCTAACACACATACTCAGCTTATTATATATAATATGAGGTTTATATATCTTATGCCACTGCACCAAAAAATCTTCTGCGGCAAAGACAATAAAGAAGAAAGAGAAAGTGACATGAGGAAAGAGAAAAAAATTGTGGGCCCACAACTTTATTGTTTCTGCTGCAGAATTTTTTTTGGTGCAGTGACATAAGATATATAAACCCCATATAATATACTAGACAACCAATTTGTTTCCTACACACTAGAATGTAGAATAAAACTATAATAAGCTTTTAGAGACTAATGACCAAGTACTAAAAATCGTTAGGAATGTGACTTCTATTCTCAAGAAGGGGTGGGATTGAGTATGACAAGATTTTATGCAAATATTTGATTTTTATTTTCAAATTACAATATTGTACTCACTTTGATATACACAAAGCTTATCAAAATATATAATTTATCTCAATGATACAATATACACTAGCACATATTAAATATAAAAAAGTGCTAGAAACATAGAGTTAAGGGTTAGGAAGATTGTAAAGAGAATTTATCCTAGTTCGATCACCAATACTTGTACCTACATCTAGATTGCAAGTCGCTCAAACGATTCTTCCACTATAGGTCAAGCTTCATAAGTGCTTGACAAATTGCTACAATCTCCAAACTTACATGTGCTTAGAAACCTTACAATCCACTAAGTTTCACGAGTTCTTAACAACTTTATAATCTTTAAGCTTCATGAGTGCTTAAAAACCTTCTAACTCTTAATCTTATTAGATGCTTGGCAACCTTACAATATGATTTTACAATAGAAGGATGATGATCAAGTGATAAATCTCTCAAAGAGCAAGTATACAAGTTGAAGCTCCGAGTGAGTACGGTGAATTTGTAAGAATGAGCTCAAGATTAATAGATTTGTATATATGATTTCAATTAATGTTTGTGAAGCTCTTTCTACTTTAAAAATACTCTTATAACATGTGCAAATAATGCCCAGTATTTTTAAGAGCTGTTAGAAGTGTATATATAGTGATTTTATTAAAAACTAGTCGTTGTATGTGATCTGAATGCAAGATCCTATTTCATATAATGATTATAATTTATTAGTCACATACTATTAGAAACAAGTGCGATCAATAACTAATATTAATAGTGTAATTTATAATATTAAAAGATGATCGTTCCCAAATATACTAATAAAATTCCCCAACATACTAATTAAATTTTTTATATTTTTATTAAAGAACATCATTACATGTACTTAAACATTTTTACTTAATTTCGGTTCATATTATTATCTGAAAAGACAATGATTGATTATGGTGCAAGCACGGGGAAGTGGGTTTAACCAACTCAATAATTATTCGGGATAAATAATGAAGAAGGTGCCCGAAGGCCAAAGGAAAGGAATTATAGTAACGACTAACGAGGTTATTTTGAAGTTGATAATGAAGCATCGGGACACTTTTGATTTGTTTTCTATATTTTAATACATTTTACGCATTTCTAAACAAAATAAAAAATAAAAAAACTATAAGATAGGTTTCTATAATGAAATACGATAAGAAAATAAGAATTTCTAAATTTAATAATATCATATTAGAAAACTAAAAATAAAAGTCGCAAATATATATTTAAAAATGAAAAATATATTCAAAATGAACTTAAATGAATTAATAAATGATTATGGCAATGGGGAAAGGTGGGTGAGGGAATAGAGGTAAGGGACCCAGTTGCCTCCAAAACGACGGGCACCCACATCGGATTAAAGGTAGGTGACAAATATGGTATCTTCAACTGATGCCCCATTTAAAGATTTCCTCAATCTTCTTGTCTCACTGTTTGGATTTCATGATGCAAATTATGGGACAATTCCTCTCGCGCCATTCTCCTATAAACTCAATCACAATTATAACCCTATCATAATTCATCACCGATTAGTTTTTCCTTTTTATTCGAATCCAAGAACAGATTTGGGTAACTGGCCCATGAAAAGGTAATGGACGGAGGAGAATGAATGAACTATGCAAGCGTTTTCAAGATATCTATTCCGATTTTTGAGTCAACCAAGGTTCAATGTTCTGCCACTTGACATGAAAATAATGAAGAAATCAATCAATTGAAAGATCCATTCAATAAAATAAGTTTTATATTTCATCATGGACAAAATTATCCGTTGATATTTCTTTTAAACCATTACATTTTTACTCATTTAATAGAAAAGAGAATAAAAGAATTCAATCACAGTGAAGAAAGAAAATATTTATGTTATGCTTTTTAATATCTTTTTTATCCTTTTTTATTTGATGTATAAAATCATATTATAAATATTTTAACAAATTTGATTATGCGATTCAATAATAAAAAATTAATGAATAGATAACCAATAAATTATTATATATTAATAAATATTAAATAAAAACCATTGCATACAAATTTATAATTATTTAAATAATAAGCAAAGCTAATTTATAAAGTTCAATATGCAAAAATTAATAACCAAAGTTAATGATAAAAATAGATTTTATATCTTCATTAAAATTGAATCAAGTACTCTCTCTCTCTCTCTCTCTCGTTAAACTGTTAAAGTTAGCTTTTCTTTTCTTTTCTTTTAATTTAAGGGGAAAATATTGTAACAACAAAGTTATGTTACTATCAAGTTACTACCAATCAATCTCACCATTAGATCGATTATGTTAATCCAATGATTATATTTATTTTTATCTTTGTATGGTCATGATTTTTTAAATTTAATACTTTATATTTAATAAATAAATTACCTTGAATCATTAAATTAAATTAAAATAATTGGTTAAATAGTGTAAAAGATTAGAAGATTAAAAGAAGACGTAAAAGTTGTTTATATATATATACTCTTAAAACATAACATATCATTAGCTAATCAATTAAACATCACATGTGCCGCTTAGAAATAAAAGTGAGCTGCTTTGAGCCAAGTTTTATCTCGAAAAATTTTAAGTTTATGTCAAAAAAATAATATAATTTAACCTGATCTAATAGAATAGTATGAGTCTAACTATTAGCATGCCCTGACCAATTTATAAAAAATAAATAAATGGTCCAGCATTTTCTGTTAGTCTGTTAATTTTTAACTTATAAGCATAACATGAATCAATTTCACAAAATACTCAAATTATGTTGTTAAATAAGTTGGTAAACAATTTGTAAATGTAGAAAATAAAAAACAAGATGAAAGATAGAAAGAAAGAAAAAAGATTAAAAACAAAAAATATTTTTATACCTTTTATTTTTTCATCAAGCTA